CTTGATCCTTAAGGTTGACAAATTCCTCAACGTTATTGTCATGGTCTTGATGGAAATGACAATACTTAGTTTGATCCCGCCGGGTGGAGGGAGATCTTGATGGTTGGGGCCATTTCAGGTTATAGTCAGATTTAGTTCAAAACTTGCTCCATAAGGGTGTTGAGAGGGGTGTAACGTTCAAACCGACCGGGTGGACGGGTGGGATCCGGTTGGTCTAAGTACTAAGGAGGCCGGTGTGTATATTGTGTGGTCCTGGGCTTAGGGGCGAGCATGGTCCGGATTGGATCGGATTAGGGTAAAATCATGACCAATCCGTTATCAACGGTTCCTAAAAAATTAGAACCAATCCAATCTGTTTAAATTATGGAACCAATCCGAACCAATCCATTTAAACACGGATTGGATCGGTTTAGGACCACGGATTCACATAATTAAATAACAAAAAAATATATATATAACACTTTAATTTCATAAAAACATAAATATAACCCTATATTAGTTCCACAATAGCAACATGTTATTCTATAATAGCGACATACTGTTCTAGAATTTAAATAACCATAAGAAAACTAATTTCACTATAAGTATTTAGACCATTACAAATTAAAAGTAAAAACTAACAAACAAAAGTAATAAAAGAAGATATTATACCGGTTTAGATTTGAGTTTAGGTTCTATATAGAATAAGAGGAGACACTATAGGGGAGGATGTATAATAAAGATACAGACTATTTGTATACGGTCCGGATCGTTTCCAATCCGGAACCAATTTGTAGACTACAGATTTTTAATTCTTCAATCCGGAATTGAATCACGGATTCAAAAAACCAATCCAAACCTATCGGATTGGACTGGACTGGATCGGATTACGGATTTCACAGATTCCTTGCTCAGCCCTACCTGGGCTTAGGTTTTTTTCTTTTGTCCTTGAATAGTGGGGTTTTGGATGTGGAGTCTTGGCGAGCAGCTAGAGAGTCTTCGGCATTCATATACTTCTGGGCTTTGGCGAGAAGGGTGGCCATGACGGATAGGGGGTTTTTAGAAAGGGAGAAGAAGAAATCTGACGGGCGTAAGCCGAGCATGAAAGCTGTGAGAATGACCTTGTCATCATTTTCCTCCACTTGTAAGCCTTAGATATTGAAACGGGTGACAAAGCTACGTAGCGACTCCCCTTCCGACTGGCAGATGTTTAGCAGCTAAGTCGCAGGATGTCGTTGCCTCTGAGTACCGATAAAATGGCTCAAGAAGGCTTCATTGAGCTGGTGAAAGGAAGTGACAGAGTCTGGGGGAAGCTGGCTAAACCAAAGTCACGCTGACCTCTTCAATGTGACAGGGAAAGCGTGGCACATGATTTCATCTAGAAAGGCATGGAGGATCATGAGTGTCTGGTATGCTTCCACGTGGTCGACCAAATCGGTGGTATCATCGAAGGTGTCGATCGATGGCATTTTAAACGTAGGGGCAGAGCTTTATCTCTGATGGAGGCGGTAAAAGGAAAGTTGACGGTAGAAGAAAGTTTGTGCTGCATGTTCTGCATGACTCCTTGTAGCTGAAGCTTCATGACCCGCAGTTCAGCGTCCTAGATGGGGGCATTGTCCCCGTGATCATGAATCGGGGGTTAAACACTGCTAGCTTCTCATTTATGGATAGTTGTGTGAAGTAGTGAGGGGTGGTTATGAAAAAGCAATGGTCCCTCTTGGCGGACCTGCGAGTCGGGTAGGAGGACACGCATATCCTCAAGATTCGACGGTCGAGGGTGCTGGACGAAAGAGGGAAATATTCCTTGGGATATATGTAGTGGAAACTAATGGTTGGATTGTTCTGGGTTTGGGGGGACTGCTTGTGGTGGAGGAGAGGGGATAAGTTAATCTCGCTGGAGCAAAGCGTTGATCATTGCTTGGTTTTGTTCGGTCAGTTGGTTGATGTTGTTAGTGAGTTCAACAAAATACGGAGGTGGGTTATTTGGGTTAGAGGACTCAGCTTCAGCGTTACCAACATTGTATTGTGAAGCCATGGATCTCGTCGTAACCATTCACTTTGACGTAGGAGATGGGTGATAGTGGAGCTTTCTTCGGTGACAATGAGCACAACTGTCTACCAGAGAGAGTTCCCACAAACGACGCCAGCTGATGATGCTACTGCTTCAGTAGAAGATAGGCTCGACTGATCCACACTTTTAACGGGTCTGCTGGCCTCGAAGTTCCCAAAAAGTACTTGCAAAAAGGTCCGAGGGGGGAGGTGTTCTCCCAACGGACACTCTGACGACCAAGTTGGGGTAGATTGCCTTGGGAGAGAGAGAGAGTAACAAGTGATAGAACTACTTAACTTCGACGTATCTCCAAAGTTTTCTTATATCCGTTGCTCATCATTTCCTTGTTCATTCCAAGTGATCTTGTTGGCCGAAAGTCTATAGTCTAGTTAATATCGTTCATGGTGAGTCTGTATTCTCCGGTGGGAAGGAGTTGTCGCATTTAATGCTACGAGGGCCTTATTAATGGTTAATGTGTGAGTGCAATAACTTCACATGATCTTTGTCTGTTTACGTGACTGGTGCCCTGTTTGACAAGTGTTTGGATGTCACTGGTCCTGGTTCATCATTGGTTTCTAAAGGTTGTTGGGCTTTAATACCTAGGTCATGTGTTGGGCCCCTAAGTCGTGGGCTGGACCCTCTTGGGAGCCATCAGTATCAATCCATAAAAACCTAACTCAATTTGTCCAAACCAAACCCTCCAAGCCATTTGTAATCGAACTAAGCAGTGAAGGTATAGAGAGGGGGTCCAGCCCATCCCACAATGGACAAATGGGGGGTTGCAAATGCTTGATTCAGAGTCCATGGAGGTCCGTTGGCAGCAATAAATTATTTATCAGGGGTCTATTTGCAAAGCAACGCACTAAGTAATTTGTCGAATTCACGAAAGCAACCGTAATAATAATAGTCCGGATTTCCACCTCGAATTCACGTACAGTAACAATTGTCCCTTGATCACCATGCAAAAACAACTCAAGCTCATTACTTTACACTCACTCCTGTCCTGTCCTGTCCAAGGTTGTCTTGTCTCATCAATGGTATTTGATGCATACCAAAGTTTAGTGGTGTTCAATGAGCACTAGTGCCAACTGCATTCATTTCCATCCCAGCCCCATTATTGAGAATGCAATAAAGTTGTGTTCGTTTGAAAATTAAGTTATAAGATTGGGTTATGTATCTTGGCCGATCTTAAATTACATGTTTAGATGTAAAACTAAACTTTTAATTTGACAGTCCAACATGACTGCACATTTTCCATGTGGTATAGGCGATTATTGACAGGGAAGGAATAAGAATTAAAATGAAAGATTAATATATGAATTATAAAGAATTATAGGACACAAATATAAAATAGCAATTCTAAAAAAATAAGGGATACAATGAGATTTCACTGATTCCTCTTCATAATTCAGAACTTATTTTTTTCAAAATTGTTAGTGCCCAGACTAATAAGGTCATGTAATTATGACATTAATTAAATTCATTAGAAACCATGGTTATGTTATGAGTGGTGAATTCACGGGTGGCTTTGCCACCAAGTTATGTGCTCATGAGAGCTTCTTATGAATGCCATGCAGGCTGAAACTCCATGATCATCATTAATTTCTAAACCAATTTGGCCAATAATTCTCTTCAATGCACGTTTAATGATCTGCACAAAATCGTTGCAGTTCAATGCATGAATATTCAAGATTTTATTGTTTAAAAAAAAAAAACGTATAAGTCTAGCAAACTATTCTTTTTTACAAAATGTGACATGCAATAATAAGATATAATATTTGAAAGATAACATGATAGGAACAACTCAATTGCCACATCTAGAGAGTTTGTGAGTTTTGCTTTCATTGCCATTCTCAAATATAGAACAATATCAGACATGGAGGGGTAAAATATACAATAATGTTTTTGTCACGCCTCTATGTTAATTTTTTATACATTTGTTCTGTTATATAAAGTGTTCAATTCACTTTGGTGCCATGCCCTGTCACTTTTTTCTTTCTTTCTATTTTTCTCCTTTTTCAATTTTTAAATTCTCAAATTATCCCTATGCAACTCAACTTAGTTTTAGATTTCAAATTTCAATATTTGATAATTTTTTTGACTGTTCATTTTTCTATTTATACTATTATATAAAGCACACAACTCTTTAAACTTTGCCACAATCTCTTTTATGCTTAAAATAACATTTTCAAATCTAACTATTTCACACATTGGACCTACACATAGAGTAAATAGATTAATGATTCATCTACTAAATTTATTCAATTTGAATTTGTTGGAATGAAACTCTTCTCGGGAAAAGTCTCCCACGACTTTTTCAAAACAAAAAACTATGATGGGGAAGAATTTTATTTAAATGAATTTGAACTGAACAAATTCGGTGATGTAACCTCGGTGTAGTCAATATAGGCACATGTTGGAACATCATATAAGGGTTTGCGAGGGATGAAAATCCCAACCTCCTCGTAACTCATGTCATGAATACTCTTTTGAAAGACACAACAACCATTGAGCTATCTGGTTAGCTCTCTATTCAACTTTTTTTTTTTTTTTTTTTTTTTTTTTGATAACTCAGGTATCCCCACAGCCGAAACATGGGACTAATCCTGAGAGCCCTGAAGTTAACGACGGGCTCTATTCAACTTATTTATTGGATATCAAGTGCCATGTGGGCTCAAAATTTTCAATTTTAAAATGTATATATATTTTATCTTTTTGTACCAAAATTTTCACCCTTTTTTTGGGGCTAAATGACCCCCTGGTAGAATGTGGATGCAGAAGATGATGAAATTCAACAAACAAAATAAAGCAACTTAATTAATGCCAGTATTTTTTTATTTTTTTAATAAATTAATTTTGCCAATTTCGGATAATATAAGTTTTTACATCCATCTTTCAAAACAAGCTCGCAGCATGAAGAAAAAATGGGTCGTGTAAATAAAATTCCAAAGAGAGAGAGAAGGCACAGGAATGCCCTTGTATATGTACAATAATTTCATTGCATTTAAAAAGTTAGAAACTATAATGTACCAAAAAAAGAAAGAATAAAAAGAAAAAAGTCAAAAAAATAACAGAATATCTCCGATAGAAGACAAGTAACTTCGACCTTTTTACATCAAAGTTCAGACATGAAAATCTAAAATATAATACCTAAACCGAGTAAAGAAAACAAATCATTAACAGCAATTAGCACAAAACCAAAAAAAGCAGAAGTCAAACCCCACTGTAGACCTTTTCTTCCTCTTCTTCTTCTTCTTCTTTTTTGAGGTTTACATTACATGGGTACGCAAACAAGCTATAAACATGCTGGTCGAGGACAAATTATGATAATATTCGGATCAAACAAGTAAATTTTTTTTTAATTTTTTTTATCTTTTAAATTTAAAACTATAAGTATGGTTTGCTTGAAACCCTTTGGTATGAGATGTATTACATCATGAGCCAGAAGAAGACTGCCGCACCGAACAAGCCACCACTTGTGCCCATTGTCTCAACCTTGTCTTCACCGTCTGGGGATTATCACCTTCAATTTTCCCGAGAAAGAAACAACGAACAAAAAAACAAAACATAGGTTTTATCAAGATCAATTAATTAATTGACTGAAAAAATAAAACGTTTGAATTTTGAAAAGAGGGAGGAAAGGAAAGTACCGGGGCCGAACATGGAGTGGGGGCTACCCACGGAAGACGGTGAGTCACACTCAGACGCTGTCGACGAAAACAACGACGAAGATGACTTGGAAACGCTGTCGTAGTACTGTTTATTAACGGCGTAGAAGAGACCCAAAGCGGGCAGAGTATCCGACAAGCGTTGATCCGTGTCGGGCGAATCAAACCCGAATCCGAGTTCGATGCAAGCTTTGAGCTCGTCGAGGTCCTCGTCGGTGACGCTCTTGCTCCGCCGTCTGCGGCGGCCGTGGTTGCCTTTTCTCCGCTGCCATGCCTCGTCGCGGTATCCATCGGGAGACCACGACTTCTGTTTGAACAGCGGCGAAGGATGCGGCGGCGGCGGCGCCAGTCGTGGAGGGGCGGCGGCGGCGGCGGCGGTGGTGGTGGGTTGTGACATGGGCACGAACGGGACGCCTTCTTCGTCAACCCATACGGCGGGGCTGAGCGGAGGACGGCGGAGCCCGGGGGTTGATTGGGGTAGCTCTTCTATGGCTTTGGGGTTTGTTTGTTTGGTTTGGTTTGGTTTGGTTTAGTTATTTATTTTTATGTGTAGTAGTAGTAGGGGTTCGTGTTTGGTTTTGATAGGGAGAGATAGAGGGAGGGGTTATAAGGAAGGGGTGGAAGGGTGGAGGTGCGTGGGTCCAGAGAAGCAAGGATTGGTTGGGTCCGGGTCATCATGACCTGTCCACTCCTTTTCTAAACGTTTCCCCATTTATTTTCTTCTAATCTTGGAAAAGGGTAGCTTCGGATTGCTACTCTATTATTCTTCTTCTTTCGTTGTTAATATTATTAGTAGCCAAATTATAGATATTTATATTTATTTTAGATTTTTTTTAATATATAAATTATATTTAATTATAGATATTTATATTTATTTTAGATTTTTTTTAATATATAAATTATATTTTAAAGATTTTTTATAAAAATAATTTAACAATCTTATCATTAGTCATAGTGTATGAAAGAAATTAAAAAAGGTACTGCAGTAATTATATACGAATTGTATCTATAATTATTTATATGAGATAATTTTAAATGCTGATTAAGGGATTGTATCAATAAATGTAAGTATGTGGAAAAGCACGTAGATTGAAAAAAAGTTAATAAATGCTAATCAGAAAATTTTGACGAAGTCAATAAATGCTGAGTTTTTTTTTTAAAATAAAAAATTTAGAAAATTCAGATTGGGATATTAAAACTCCCACAGGCCTTGGGGGTTAAAAACCCCATTTTGCTTAATATATAGTATAGATATAAATATAGATAATATAATATAAATAGATAGATGTGTTGAAATTTTCAAGAATTTTGTTTATGCTGGTCTTTAATGCATTAAAGTTTAATTATTAGGGGGGTTTTGACCAAATCTCCCAAAAGGCATGGGGTTTGGGAGAAATTAATAAATACTGAGGTTTTTTTTTTTAAATCAAAAAAATAAAAAATTAGGATTGAAATATTGGAGCTCCCACAAGCCTTGGGGTTAAAAATCCCTTTTGCTTAATATATAGTATAGATAGATAGATAGATAGATAGATAGATAGATATATCTTTTTATTTTTATTTTTATTTTTGTGTGGTTTCTATTCGGGTATTTTTTTTTTCAATTTATTTAAGATGGAGTTGTGGGAATCTTTTTTTTTAAATTTAATTTATCTGTGGTTTCCATTTGTTTTTAATTATTATTATTTAGGTAAGTTATGATGTGAGTTAGATATGCGATAAACATGTGAGTTTTATTGATTTAAAATTTATTTAGATAAACTTTACAGATTTTTTTTTTTAGTTTTATAGTTTTTTTTTTGTTATGTTATAATATAATATATAAAATATAGGTAGATATCTACAACTTTAATAGAAAAATATTATCTGATTTTTTGGAGAAGAGAAAAATAATGTAAGTTTTAATATTTTTTTAAAAATTTGTGAGAGAGATTAGGAGGGAGAGATTATGAAATATTTTTGATATATAATTATATTATTAAATCATAATTTAAATTTAAATGTTATATCTTTTTGAGATTTATAACTAAATTCTTATCTTTTTTTATTTTTGTGTGTAACCATAGTGTATGGGAGAAATTGAAAAGGGTGTTGCAATAATTATGAGAGAAGTCAAAAGGGATTGTGGGTTGGGAGATGTCAATAAATGCTGAGGTTTTTTTTTTTAAAATCAAAAATTTAGAAAATTAGGATTAGGAGATTGTCCCACAGGCCTTGGGGTTAAAAATCTCCTTTTGCTTAATATATAGTATAGATTATTATCATTATTTTTTGGGCGGACTTTTTTTGGGCGGACCGTTATGTGAGATGGGATTTATGGGAAGTGATTGAAATCCCTTCAATCACCACCCCATCACCTCCCGAGTTCAGATCTTTTCCTTATAATCTTTCTTTACCTTTTTACTTGGGATGATCCAGATGCATCCGAATAGATTTGGCGGTCCAAATCTGTCCAAAATAAATAAATAAAACAAATTGAAAATGAAATTTCCCGCGCAGAGGCTATACATACAAGTTATACACATTTGACCTCACTCTCATTTAGCCTCACCCTCACCCTCACGAACCTGGTTCTCCACCGAACCTAGCCTCAACGGCGACTCACTTCCAACGGTGACTCACTCCCGACGGTAACCCACTCCTGAAACCCAAGGTGGATTGATTCTCTCTGTTTCGCAAAACTGAGCCCTTTCTTCTCCTCTACCTCACCGAACCCATCGTGATTGATTCTCTCTGCTTTGCAAAACAAAGCCCTCTCTTCTCTTTCACCTCACCAAACCATCGCAACGACGACCCTCTCAATGGCCACCCATTGGAAACTTCGGTCATACCGACTCATAAATTTGATTGTTTCTTCCTTAAGGTTGCTGAAAATGTTGTTGAAATGTTGTTGTCCATCTGTTGCTCAAACTGCTACTAAAACAGTTGATGTCCATCTGTTGCTAAAAAAGTTGCTTAAACTGTTGCATAAAAAGTTGTTGTTCTTGTTTTTTTGTGTTGCTGAAATTGTTGCTTAAACATTTGCTGTATCAAATTTTGTATTGATCTGGCGCAAAAAAATTGTACTAGCTGAAGTTGAAAGTGTAGAAATTTATGAATTTTGTGTGACTTGTATGAATTTTTTTTTTTTGGATTGAATTTGGTGTGAATAGAAACTTGAATATATTAATGTTGGAGGTTGAATTTTTTTGGATTGAATTTGGTGAATTTTTTTGGATTGAATTTGGTGTGAATAGATTGAATTTTGTGCTTTAGCCCTTCTCCAGCAAACTTGCAAGTGTGATCGTATGGCTTCAATGTTCAAATGTGAGCAACATTGGTCCATAAAATGGAGTCTTCAGTGTGAAACACCAATATGCACCAAAGATTAATGTTGGAGGTTAACAAAATTTCATGCTTAAAGTTAATATTTTGGCTACCCAAGTAATTCAGTTAGAATGAACATTTTAGCATCCATTGAAGCAGTCTCAGGAGCAACATTCTTGCCAACATTTTAGCATACAAGTAGAGCTTCCTAGGAGCAACATTCTTGCCAACTGTTTCTTTTAACAGTTCCATTGCCTTACAATACCAACCCAATAGAAACCCTTTACCAACCCATTTCATACCCATTTCAAACAAAGCAATTCAAAATCATCCTTTACCAAGTTCTATAATCATAAAATCATTCCATAACTACATTCATTTCTTTATCTAAAATCATCTACATTCCATCTAAAATCATAATGTTTTGCGAAGAAGAGAGAAACAATCGCGATGCGTCGCCGTCGTCGGGAGTGGGTCGCCGGTGAGGTTGGTTTCGGTGGAGAACCAGGTTTGTGAGAGTGAGAGTGAGGATGAGTGAGAATGAGGTCAAATGTGTATAACATGTATGTATAGCCTCTGCGCGGGAAATTTTCATTTTCAATTTGTTTTGATTTTTTTTTTTTTTTATGGGCAGATCTGGACTGCCAGATCTGTTTGGGTGCATCTGGACCATCCTAGGTAGGGAGACAAGGAGAGACGATAAGGAGAGGATCTGGACTCATCACCCCCCACCCCCCTGTGACTGATGGTGATTGAAGGAGAAGAAAAAAAAAAAAAAAAAATTAGCCAATTAAAAAGAGAGAGGTTAAAGGGTCAAAGGGGTGGGGGAAAAGGGGGCCTGGATCATTTTTCGGGATTTATCTGATAATTATAAATTTAAAATATTATTTATTCAAATTTTTAAATAAATAATAATTTTTTTTAACAAGTTGAAATCATTCATTACCGTGTAACTTGTAAATAATTAATTTTTTAAATTTATTTAAATTATTTATATTTTATAAATTATATTTAGAAACTTTATTAAGGAGTTGCTTGGGTTTGCTTATATAGTGTATTTTTTAACTTTTTTTGAATATATATGTAGCAAGATAGAGATGTAATGTCATCTAAATAAGTATATCTATTCAGATTATCCCAAACAATATTTTAACATAGATTCTTAAATCAAAAAACTAATTTGTGTGTTTTGTTTCGATTTTTTGGAAATTCAATTTTTTTTTAATTTTTCGAGTTTTTTTATTTTTAGTGAATATTTTTAAAATTTTAAGTATTTTTTACTTTTTTTCTTTTTATGAATATATATGTAGCAAGATAGAGATGTAATGTCATCTAAATAAGTATATCTATTTAGATTATCCCAAACAATATTTTAACATAGATTCTTAAATCAAAAAACTAATTTGTGTGTTTTGTTTCGATTTTTTGGAAATTCAATTTTTTTTTTAATTTTTCGAGTTTTTTTATTTTTAGTGAATATTTTTAAAATTTTAAGTATTTTTTACTTTTTTTGTATGCACATTACGTAGATGTATCTAAATAATAAAATATTTGTAAAAAAATATTTTAAAAGATTAATAAATATACAAAAATATGAAAATGTACTGAATTTTTTTTTTAGTGAATTTTTTAAAGATTTTTTTCACAAATAGTATACTTTTAAAATGTATTTATATTATGTGTGTCTAAAAATTAAAAAGAATTGCTTAAAATATTAAAAAAAAATACAAAAAATAAAAAATAAGGTTGTGTTTGGTTTAGGTGTGGGATCAAAATCCCACCCTCTTATTTCAATGTTTTGTTTGGATATAATTTTTAAAAATTAATTTCACACCCACATTTGAAATTTTTTTTCAGAACATGTTTGGTAGAGTGAGTTTTTGAATTTTGAAATTGGGTCTACCTAGTCGTCCGCCCAGACATCCTCCCAGACGCCCAGCTAGTTGACCGAAATAGTATTTTTTTTTTTTTTGCAATTGATACCTGTTATTTTAAAAAAAAATTTATACTTGTTTTAATATGTTTAAAATATAGAAATTATTATTTTTAGACCAAAATGACAAATTTTCTGACTATTTATTTAAAATTAACCAAAAAAAATTTAAATAAAAATTAATTTGTCACAGTAATTTTCAAAAAAAAACATTTTAAAACAAAAAATTCCAATTAAATATACAATCTGACATTGGTGAGCCCACAAAAGGTTTTGGTCCACCACTTAGAGCCCAATTCACAGTTCAAGT